AAAGACCTCAGTGAAAAATAGTTGTATTTAGATTTAAAAAAATCCATTTTGAAGCTTCACGTTTGTTGTTTTGAGATCTTTTGGCAAAAATTTTTCTGAAATACGGTTATTACGCAATCCTAAAAAATGAAATTTTTATTAGTAAAATCAATACATGGACCGAATATTTATGTTTCTTGATATTCCAGTTGATAATTGCTGCTTTGAGACAGAAACTGAAATTTTAAGGGTTTGGAGCTAAAAACTCACTTAATTTAAGAAATTTCGCCAAAAAGAGGCCAAAAAACATCGTTTTAGGTCTGAATCAGCACATTTTTAAAACAGAAACTCGCTTATTTCAAAAGATTTTGCTTAAATAGAACAGAAATTCCTCGTTCTAATTTACAATTTCGCTATTTCAGACATTATTGAGCAATTTTCCTTACTTTTAAGCCACAAATTCAAAAGATTTAGTCAAAACAGATCAGAAAAGTGTGCAATTAATTCTCAAAAACGCAAAAAAAAAGAAAACTTTGCACTCATTGCAAAATTAAGCTTGAAATATGTTATTTTTCTATGTTTCCATGTATTTAGCGAATTTTTTGTCAAAAAAAAAAAAGAAAGCAAATCTAAAATTCGTTATTTTCTCTTACTTCAATGAATTTAGAGCATGTTTCACTGAGAAACTCAGAAAATTCCAAAGCTTTTGTTAAAACAAGGAAGAAAAAATGAAAATTAGTTCTGGCCTGCGAAATTTTTGTTGATTTCGATAGGTTTAGAACGTTTTTTACTGTAAAACTCCAAATTGAAAAGATCCAAAAGTTTTTGTCAAAACAAGGTAAAAAAATTGCAAAATTAAGCGTGAAATGTGTTATTTCTGCTTATTTTAATGAATTTAGAGGATTTTCCTCTGAAAAAATTACAAAATTCGAAAGTTATCTTATCCAAAATAAACCTGAAATGTTTTATTTTTTCTTATTTTAAGAATTTAGTGCATTTTCCTTTGAGTAAATTACAAAATTCGAAATAATATTGTCTTTTTTTGGTACCTACCTGAAAACAATTCAAATTATTAAATTAAAGAAATAGTGGACTGTATTTATTATTTCTATTCTATTTTATTAAACGATTTTTGTTTACTTTATTATGCAACTTGTTTTTGATTCGGAAATTGTTACTAAAGTGGAAATAAACGAGT